TCTTATGTTTTTATTGATAAACAACAACAAAAACAAAAACAACAACAAAATTATGTTGCTACTGCTAAAGACTTTGATTTAATTTTTTTTTATTAAGGGTGATCTTCGAGATTTTATTTTTATTTTTACTATATGAAATCGTCACGTGGGTTTAAAACTTTAAATAAAAATAAAAATTTCGATATAATCGATATTTTATTTATTTATTGATTTATTGATTGGAAATTATTGTCGTAAAATAACCAAATGAATAATAACGAATTTTTTTTTTCATTCGTGTAATTTATCTATTTTTATTATTATTATTTTAAACAACTTATTCTCTCTCTCCCCCCTCTCTCTCACTTTCTCCCTCCCCTCTTTCTCTATCTCTCTCTATTTCTTCTGCTTTTATTATATGTTAAACACAATGACGAATTATGGGCGTGAAAAACAAAACAAAACCGGTACAAATCCAAAATACGTTTAGTAAATTTTTTTTTTAAATGTTTATCATTCGTGTTTTTTTATTATTAAACCATCCAAACCGTTATTACGTAATGTTAATAATAATAATAATAAATAATAATAATTAAAATAATTAAAATAATTAAAATTTTTACATTAATTTATTAATAATAAGAAGAAAAAACTCGACTCGACATTTATTTAAATTTTTTTAAAATTTAAAAAAAAAAAAAAAGAAATTTAAAAGTTAATAAAACATAAATAATAATAATAATAATTAATGGGAGAAAAAAAAAACTTAAGTGAATAATTATTATTATTAGCCCACCGTAGTTATGAATGAAAAAAAAAAAACATTTTACGGAATTCCTTTCACGTCGACATTCATTTTTTTTTTAAGTAGCTTGAAATGAAAATTTTTTTTTTTTTAAAAACAAAAATGATTTCACGGGTAGAGGAGGGGAGGGGGAGGGGGAAGAAAGAAAGGAAAGGAAGAAAAAAACAAATAAATAATAATAATAAAATGTCATTAACAAGTGGATTCCAACGATGGTAACATAATGATGCGTTTTCTCTCTCTCTCTCTCTCTCTATCTCTCCCCCCTCTCTCTTTCTTTCAAAATTTTGTCGTTAATAATTTACGTTGGGCATCCGAAAAAAAAAAAAAAAATGGAAGAAGACAGAATGTTTTAAAACAAAGTAAAAAAAATTAAAAAAAAACTAGTTTTTGTTGTCGTCTGCGGAAGCAAAACACAACTCAAACGTAATTTTTTTAACATTGAAATATGAGAAATTAAAAAAAAAAAAAATTCGGTAAATTTATTAATTTTTTTTTCCGGATATATATTTTACTTGTAATTCCAGAAGATTCCAAAAAAAGTTTTCAACAACAACGTGTATGTGTGACGTAATATCACAAAAAAAAACCTAAATAATGTTAATTTAATACTGTAATAATTTTTTTCTTCTCCAGAATTAACAAATTCAAGGCTTTTTTTAAAAAAAAACTCGTGTTGTCATGTTGTTGACAACGATTCGAATGTATCCGTAACGATTTTTAATTTATTACAACCCAAATATAATTTAATAATAATAATAAAATCTCTATAAATTTCTATGACGTATTTATTAATAATAATAATAATAAAGTTGTGTTTTTGAAAGATAATAAAAAATTAGTACGTAAAGATATATATTTGTGGTAAAAGAGAGAGAGAGACAGAGAGGACACGACGACGTGATTAAGCAAAAAATTTCTCTCTCTCTCTCTCTCTCTCTCTCTCTCTCTCTCTCTCTCCTTTATAGATTTCTAAACATGGAATACTAATAATAATAATAATAATAATAATTCCGGGATAAAATGTGCGTTCAAACACACGAGTCACTTAAATTAAAGAAGAAGAGAGAGAAAAAAAAATGAATGAAAAATTTTGGCTACCATTTTTGTTTCTTTTTTTTTTTTTGTTAATGAAAGTGGGTTGTTGAAAGAAAGAGAGAGAAAAAGAGAGAGAGAGAGTAATAAATAAGACAGCAGGTAGCTGGTTGATTTGTATACCTTTAAAAACCACTTAAAATTATTATTATTATTATTATTAAGAGAAAGTTAAAAAAAAGGTGCAAAACAACCAAAACAAATATTTTCACGTGGATAAATAAATTTAAAAGGAAAAACAAAAACATTTTTTTCCAATGTGATTCGGGGGGGTTGAAAAAAATTATTATTATTATTATTATATTTATTTTACTATCTAAACTTAATATTCATTTTTCTTCTTCATCATCATCATCATCATTTTTGTTTTTATTATCTTTTTCATGTACAAAATAAAGTTTTTTAATATCTTTCTCTCTCTCTTCCTTTTTCTAAAATAATTTATTTCTTTCGTTTTTTTTTAATTTTTTTTTTTCATTTATCAAAATTCAATTTTTCAAATTTATTATTATTATCATTATCATTATTATTATTATTATTACTGCATCTTATCGTTAAAATCTAAATTAAAATTTTAAAAGTTATCGTTTTGTATTTTTTTTTTTTTCGTATTTGCAAATTACATTTAAAATAAAAAAAAATAAAAAAAATAAACGTTTCGATGTGTATCTTACTAAAATTAATTATATAAATTTTTTTTTTTCATAACTTTTTAAATTAAATTTAATTTAACCGGATACGGAAAACAATACACGGACAAAATCTCACTCTCTCACTTTCTCTCTCTCTCTCTCTCTCTGTTTATAAATTTACGATTAAATTTAATAATTACGAATAATTTACGACCGTTTAAAAATTTTTTTTTAAATATTCGAAACAACTTTATTTATTAATTTACTTCGATGAATATAAATTACATTTTAAAATTATTATTATTATTATTATTATTATTATTATTATTATTATTATTATTATTATTATTATTGTTATTGTTTCACCGAAAACGAAAATAAAATAAAATATTAAAAAAAAAAAATTTATTTTATTTAAAAGGTTTCCGAGAACACTTTAAAAAAAAAAAAACCGTCAAAAGGTTCGTTCGAAAAATATATTTAAAAAAAATTTTTTTTTTTTTTCAAGTATCGACATTAAGTTTTTATATAAATATATAATATATAATATATATTATTATTATTATTATATAACGAAATCATTTATTAAACGTGTGACGACGCGATAAAATTCTTTTCCGAAAAAAAAACAAAAAAATTTCTTTTTTTTAATATTACGTCTTATTATTAATTTAAATAAAACGCTCAAGAATTATTATTATTATTATTATTATCATTATCATTATTATGATTCCTTTATTATGAAACGCGTTACGAAAAAAAAAAAAAAAATTTTTTTTAATAATAATTATGAAAAAAATTGTCGTTTAACGGGGAGGATCGTTAATAATATTTTTTTTTTATATTTTTAACTTATGCTCGGAAACATTTATATTAAATATAAAATTTTAATTTTAAAGTCGACCCCCTTCCCCTCTTCCCTCCCCTGCTGGTTTTCTACCCTTTTAACAGCCATTTCCGGTAAAATTTCAACCGCAAAAACCTTATTAAATCAAATGTCAGCTAAAAAAAAAGTTTTTTTTTTTTTTCCCCTCATGCTTTAACTGCATATTTAATATGAAAATCGTAAAGTAAAAAACTTTTCTTTTCGGTTGGTTGTTGTTTGTTTGTGTTTGTTGTTTGTCGTCTTAAACTTAACGAGATTTACTTATTAAATTACTTTCTTTCTTTTTTTTTTTCTGTGTTATGTTTAATTTAATTTTTAACGTATTAATATAATTAATTATTATGATATTATTTTTCGTAGTTAAGACGTTAAAAAATTAAAAAACTTTTTCTATTTTCATAACTACTTTAAGATAAATATGTAATTTATATTAACTTAAAATTTATGAAAATTATTTATGAAATATAAATATAATTAATAAAAAATTCTAATTAATAAAAAAAAAATAATTAAATTTTTTTTTTTTGTAAAAGATTCAAAAGTTAAAATAAAATAAAAAAAATATTTTCGATAAATTTTAAAATTATTAACCCCCTCGTCAATACGTGAGTGTGTGAGTGCGCGTGCATGCGTGTGCGTGAGTGCGTGCTCCTCTATATATATCGTTTTACAGTTAATTATTGTTCGAGAAAAATTTTTTTTTTGTTTTTAAATAATGTTTAAGTCGTTGTTAAAAGCGTTTAAAATCACATAATCATTAATATCAATTATGTATTTTATTATCATTAATATGATTATTATTATTATTATTACAGTTAATAATGACTTTTTTCTTTTTTTTGTTAAATAAATGAACAAAGTTTTAACTAAGTATAATAATGATGATGATGATTTCATTTAGAAAAATTTTCAATTTTTTCTATTCTTGTTAAAAGAAAAGAAAAAAAAAACCATTCAAAAGTAATTATAACGTCTTTTAACGGGTAATAAACTTAAATATAAGGGATGGGGGGTTAAAAAATTTTAAAAACACAAAAAGAAAACCGCCCGTTAATAAATATTAATGGGGGGTGACCCGAATAATGTCTTTTCTCCCATTCACAAACTGCAATATTTTACAATCGAATTCTCTCATACCTGTAAAGGAGTTTTCATTTTAAATAAATGATTCTCTGACAATGCAGGGTGTGTCTTTCTCTTTCTCGCACTTAACAATCATCATCATCATCATCAACAACATCATTATCATTATCATTATCATCCCCGACTTGACCTTTTCTTAAATGATACAACGACAGAAATGTGTTTGTGTGTGTGTTTAAAATTGCATGTATATACACACACCTTTTATGAGGATGAAAGGGAGGAAGGAAAGAGAGAGAGAGAGAGAGAGAGGATGGATGTGTGATAAGTTTTTAATGAAAGATTTAAAAAAGCACTCAAAGAATGAGATACAAAGACCACCCTAGAGGTAGAGAGAGAGAGAGAGAGACACGTTTACGTTTTTTAAAATTTTTCAATATACCGAACCAAAGAAAAAAAAAAAAGGAATCATTAATTTATATTATGAGGGAGTTTTTTTAGCAGGCCCCCCTTTTTTTTTCTATATCGTGGCTCCCACGTGCTGAGCTGTTAATTCTCAATTTAAAAAAAAAAAACTTATTTGTTAGTTTATAATGACTAATTAGCTTTTAAAATAATCTTTCAAACTTGTATACTCTTTTGTCGCACAACCCCCTTCCCCCCAAACAAAACATCAAAAGGAAAAGATTTTTTATGATTGATTCATTTATTTTTTCACCGAAAGGGAATTAACCTTTACCTAATTATTATTATTTTGAATTAAAAACAATTAAACAATAATAATAATAATAATTTCATTTTCAAAAATAAAATAAGTAAAGAAGTTTTGTAAATAGATAATACACACACACAGTAAGAAAAGCTTTTATATATATGATATATGACCTCTATCAATTTCTCAAGGCATTTTTTTTTCTTCTTCGTTTTACTTTAATTTATATATATATATATATATATATATATATATATATATATATATATATATATATATTTAATTAAAAAAAAAATTTTTTTAAAAAAAAAACATGACATGGTTACCTTTAATGGGTAGAAAATTTCGAATAGTTGCATCCAAAACATTTTCTTTCTCCTCACGTAATTCCTCGTTATGACCATCGATGGAGGATAAATTCTTCGAGTATGGAGTTTTTATAACATCAACCTCGTGATTGTGAGAAGAGGTGGATATGTTTATAGCCGAACCGTAATCGATTCTTGCCCATATTATTATGAGAAAAAACGATGCTTGAAATACCTTGCACATTATTTCAGTCATCTTATTTTTTTATACGCGATCCAATAAGTTGTTAGTTACCACCTTCTTGCTAAATTGTCTCACATTTCCACATTTCATAGAAATTTTTAACTGCAAAAAAAAAAAAAAAATAATAATAATAATAATAATAATAATAATATTTTTTATTTTATTTTTTATTTCAAGTAAAATAGGCAATCGTAAATAAAAAAAAAAACCATTTTTAAATTTAAAAAAAAAAAATTTTTTATTTATTATTGTGTTTTTTTTTAATAACTTTCATTTTATTTTTATTTTTTTTTAAATCGATCCAATTGAAATATTTTCCAACGTAATAATAATAATAATAATAATAACAAATCATAATTAAATGCATTGAAGAAAATAAAGGGAGCAAGCAAGTAACCAAAAAAAAAAAAAAAAAATGTTCATAAATTACATGAAATCTACACTGATAATAAATTTAATTTATTATTTTTATAAAAAGAAAATGGCGGTGCAAATTTTGATGTTAAATAAATTGTTTAAACAATATTTAAATTTATAATAATAATAATAATAATAAATAAAATGATTACCTTTCTAATAATGATAACAACAACTACAAATTATTTTTTAAAAATACATAAAAAATATTTTTTTTTAAATGTAACACTTGAATGAAGTTTTAAATGAATAATAATAATGATAATAATTAAACAAAACAATTAAAGTTTATTGTATGAGTATCAATCAGCTGATTGCTCACTCATTATTCAGCAAAAAAAATCAATGAAAAAAAAAAAAAATAAGAAAAACATGAAAACATTTACATGGAATTCATTTGAATGAATTATTAATTATTTGTTTTTGTTAATAAAAATTAATTATTAAAATTACTACTACAACTTTCTATATTTAAAAAAAATAACTAACTAACTAAAAATGATTATTGATTTTTTTTTTTTTGAAAAATGATTTCATACTTATTTAAAAATGTAAATTTTTTTTTTTTTTTTTTAAATTATTATAATTTGACCATTTATGATATATTAAAAACCGTTAATACCGTTACAGAAAAGTTTTTTTTTTTTTTTTTTTTAAATTTCTTTTCAAAGTTAAAGCTTAGCCTTAAGTTTTTTAATAATAATAATAATAATATTACTAATCTTATAATCAACCATAAAAATAAATTAAAAATTTTTTTTTTTTCTTTTTTTTTTGGGTAAAATATCAAACCAATTATATAAATATATATTATAATGAATATTAATAATAAAATGTTTAAAATTATAAAAAAATATTTTAGTTAAAAGTTTTTTTTTTTATGATTTAAATTTTTAAACTTTATTATTAAAAAAAAAAAAAACTAAAATGTTATTTGGTTCAAATTTATTAAATTATATATATATATGCTTGCATATACATATTTGTATTTGTGAATAAAAAGGAAATTCTGGAATGTTTAAGAGAAAGGGTTGTTGAATTTTCTTCCCTTTTTTTTTTTTTTTTTTTTTATCATTGTCCTAATAATTTATTAAAAACTTTTCGAAAAGTTTCTTCCTCTTACTCTCCCTCTCTCTCTCTCTTTTTTTTTCTCATCATCATCATCATGAAACTAAAAAATTTTCATTTAGAGAGAGAAAAAAAAGAAATTATTTTTACATAATTTTTATAAAAAATTTTATTTTATTTTTATTATTGAATAAATCCTCATTTATTTGTTTTGTTATACTAATTTAAACATTATTGACTGTAATCAATAGTTAAAACCTATTAAATTTATTACCCTCTCTCTCAATTTAATTATATTTATTTAAAATTACATCATTGAAATGTGTATTATGTACATAGATACATAAATTTTCTTTATTTGGTTTTAAAATTTAACAATTTTTAATTAACCAAACCTTAAATAAGTAATAAATAAATCTTTAATGGACACATTCTTACAACAACTACAACCCTTTGACAAACAAAACCATAATTTCCTGCTTATTAATATATTGTTTATTAATTATCATGTATTGTTGTAATTAATAATTTATTTAATAACCATAATTAATAAACCATATAATAATATTTTTAATAATTAAAATTAATATACAAAAAAAAATTTTTTTTTATATTTACCACTAGTTGTATGTTATGGATGTAATAAATCTTTTTCTTATTAAAATTTTTACCGGATGTTATATTATCGATAAGAAAATTAAAAAACTATTTTAAATAATGTAAATAATTATTTTAAAAATGAGGAAAAACTTCACGTATATGAAAAAAAAAAAAAAATTTTCCCGCAAAAAATGTCAAAATACTTGAATTTTTTTTTTTTTTTTTGACTTCCTTTACCTATATCACGAATACAACTGACAAAACAAAAAAAAAAACGGTTAACTAAATGATTCGAGCGCGCTCTATCAGAATTTTTTTTAATTTTTTTTTTTTTTTTTAATGGCGGATACATTTTGTTTTGTTTTTTTGATATTAATCATTAATCGAATTAAAATTAAATTAATATTAAATATAATGTGAATGAATTATACATAAATATAGTTTTCATCAACTTGATGATAAAAAAAATTTTGATAATATAACAAACAAGTGTTTCCCCTTAAAAATTTTCTTCTTGACAATTATGCGACGAAATAATTATTAATTTAAGTTAAATTTTTTTTATGTTTGAGTTTATAATTGACTTTAAAAAATCCTCGAAAAATTCTTTGCTAATTAATAATGTTAATTTCTGAGAAAGTTACTAAATCTTTTTCTCACGTTAAATATACATTTCATTTTAATTTTGATATAATCCATCCTAAATAAATATTTTATTTCGTAATTATCATTTTAAAAAAAAAAAAGTTTTTATTTGAATTCTTTAATGATAAATAAGCAAAGAGGGGGGAGAGGGGGTTTTGTAAAACAATGAGAGAAATTGATCAGAGTATTAATATTAAATTAATATTAAACATTTTTTAATCAGTTTATTTTATTTTCTTTTTACAAAAATTTTGTTTTGACCGCCTTCATGTTATTAATCACCATAAAACGTGCACATAAGATTCGAATTTCTGGTGCCACGATTATACAAAATGGCGCCCTGTTATTAAATTTTTTTAAATAAACCCGTTAAAAATTAATAACTTGTACGAAAATTACCTGATTTATTTAAAAAAAGTTAAAGTCTATTTTAAGAAAATAAAAAAATTCTAACATGAAGACGAAATCTCGGAAAGAAAGTAGGAAAGAAATGAGAAAAGCAAAAAAGGTTAAAAAGCATGAGCATTTTTTAAAAAGAAAAGCAAAGTTTAAATCTAATAACAAATTCGTCAACAACAAAAATAACGTTACTAATAAAAAAGGTTTAAATGTGCCTAATGAAAAATTACAACAAAAAAATAATAATAAAAATAAAGATCCTTTTCACCTTCGTGACAATATTTCTAAACCGCCTGATAAAAAGAATAAAAAAGAATTCATGTCACCTCATGAGAAAATTGAATATGAACATGAAAAGGAGAAAAGGAAAAGAGACAAATTGAATAACGATATAAAAAAGACAAGAGTAGAAAAATTAAAATCTGATAATTTAAAAGAAGATGTCGAAATTAAAAAATTAGAAAAACAATTGAAAATGAAAAAAGGAAAATCTAAAGCTTTTCTCCTTGATGGATTAGACTGTATCCTTTTATTTCAACCTTTTTAAACAATTTTTATTTAATTATATAAATTACTTATTCAGCCACTGAAATTGAAACAAATTAAAGCCTTAAACTCTAACTATCATTAAACAGACACTTTACATATAATTTTTATTTTTCTTAATTCGAAATGTAGACCTTTTGGATGTTTGCGACAAAAAAATTACAGAAAATGAATTTGAAAAAACTTTACACGATTCTGATTCTGAATTTGAAAGTGATTTGGAAAATATAATTGGGGATTCCACTAATGATAATAAAAAAATCAAAACAAAAAAGAAAAAAATTTCTGAGGAAAAAAATGATTCTGAAAATAGTAACAATGATGATTTCAGTGATGAATTTGATGATGATTTTGACGACAATGAAAGTGCAGTTAATAGTGAGATTAGTGAACCAAACAGTGAAAATTTCGAAAAAGATTATTCCGATGAGGATTCTATCGATAGTGATAATGAAACCCTTAAAAATAATTCTAATAAAAAACAGGATAAAAAGACAAAAAGGGATCAAAAAAATATAGAAAACAAGGGGAAAAATAAGAAAATGAAATTAGAAGTTCATTCATCTGACAATAGTGATGATGATGATGATTCTATATCTGATGTTTCACAAAATAAAGATGATTCTGGTGTTAATAAAAAATTATGGGAAGATATATATGGGAGAACAAGAGATGAAACTGGAAATGTTGTACAAACATATGTGCCTCCACATTTAAGAAACAAAACTGATAATAATGTTAATGTTAAAAGTAATCAAAGTAAAGAAAGGCTTAAAAAACAATTACAAGGTTTACTTAATAGATTAGCAGAAAGTACCATGATTTTTGTATCGAATAAAGTAATTCCTAATAAGAATTTAACTTTTGAAAAAAACATTTAACAATCAATAAAAAAAACTTTTTATTTAAAAACAATTATGGTTTCAGATAGAAGAATTGTACATGGGAAACAGTAGAAATGACATGAATGAAACATTATGCACTTTATTTCAAGATTCGCTGTTCACTGAAATTTCAACACCTGAACGATTAATTATGGAACATGCAATGTTAATATCGGTTCTTCATGCGAATGTTGGAAGCGAAATAGGTGCACATTTTTTACAATTTACAGTTATTAAATTCAAAAAATTATTAGATGACAATGTACCGGTTGAAAATAAAGAAATTAATAATATATTAATTTTCATAATGCATTTATACAATTTTCAGGTATACAAATTTTTTTTTTTCAGGTTTCACTTGCACGATTTCACAAACCTTAATTACACACTGATATTTTTAAAATTTATAATTTTAATCGATAGGCTTATTTAATTTTCATTTTACAGTTGATTCGATCGAAACTCATGTTTGATTTGTTAGATGAAATGCTTAAAAACCTTAATGAAAAACAAATTGAATTGGTTTTGTTAACATTGAGAACAATAGGTTTTAATTTAAGAAAGGATGATCCTATTGCCTTAAAAGAACTCATATTAAAAGTTCAAGGACAAGCGAATAAAATATCATCAGATGAAATAAGGTACAGTATTGATTAAAATAACCTTTCCCACATGATTCATTTCATGCGTAAAGTTTTTTGAAAATGGGTTTATAAAAAATTTTAATATTCCAGTTCCAGAGTGAAATTCATGTTGGAAATGTTAATGGCTATTAAAAATAACAATGTGTCTAAAATACCAAATTACGATCCGGAAACGGTTGAAAAGATGAGAAAAAGTTTAAAAATATTTATTAGAAAGGGAAATTACAACGCGGAATTGAACATAACTCTTTCGGATTTACTAAACGGTTCGCATAAATTTTTGCAAATGAAAACTTTAAAAAATATGTTAACTCGTACCTAATAATTAATTTTCAGCCGATAAACACGGTCGCTGGTGGATTGTGGGTTCCGCTTGGACAGGTTCAGCCTTAGAACAAAAAACAGAAAAACCCGACGCGACGAATTCGAACGTTATGCAATTCTCTCAGAGCCTTCTCGATTTGGCGCGAAAACAAAGAATGAACACGGACGTTAGAAAAAATATTTTTTGCATTTTGATGTCGTCAGAGGTAAAAAAAAACTATCTATACATTTTTCATGAAATCCACATGTGAAATTTCATTAAAAATTTTTTTTTTTTTAGGATTTTTTAGAAGCTTTTGAAAAATTGATGAAATTAAAACTCAAAGGTTCGATCGAAAGAGAAATAATGAACGTTATTCTTCATTGCGCATTGCAAGAAAAAAATTTCAATCCTTATTACATGTATTTGGGAAATAAATTTTGTAATTTTGACCGGAAATATCAGGTTCGAAATCGAAATCAAATAAAAGAAAAGTTTTATCAAAATAATAATTATTATTATCATCATCAATATATACATGAATAATTTTTTTTCATTTTTCTATTCAGATTATGCTTCAATGTGCCGTTTGGGATCGTTTGAAAGAAATAAATTCATTATTATCATTTCAAATAACGAATTTGGCTAAATTTGTCGGTAACATTGTATTAAATCGAGGACTTCCGATTTCTATTTTAAAAGTACGTAAGAAAATTTTTTTTTAAATTCCGTTCAAAAATTAACGATAAATATTATCATTATTATTATTTTTTTTTTCAGGTCATAGAATTTTCGGATTTAAATAAACCGACGATTAAATTTATGAGACAAGTTTTACTAACGATACTTTTAAACGATGATGAAAACGCAGCAATATCATCATTTAAACGAATATCATCGAATACGGATTCACCCAAATTGAAATTGTTTCGAGAAAGTTTGAGATTATTTTTACAACATTTCGTATTGAAAAACACGAAGAATAACATGGGGGGTAAAATTGCGGGGGGAAAATTAATGAAAATGGCTAAAATGGCCGATCAAACTTTATCCTCTATTAACAACACCGGAGGAATTTTTTAAAAATCCTTAAATATATAAATATTATTTTTTATGACTAGTTCACGACGTTTCTTATTTGATTCTCTTTCCTAATTATTATTATTATTATTAAAATTATGTACCTGCGTTTGAAGGTTTTTTCCGTTACTTTTCTTTCCCTGGAGTATTCTTTCATTCACCGTTATTATTTTTTAAGTGTCTAACTTTTCCGCCGAGTCTCGTATCCAATTGTAATAATGTGACACTCTCGTGTATACTCCCGGTCGATTTTTTTTCGCGCAGCCATCTCCCCACGAAACGATTCCCGAAAGGTAAAATTTTCCTTCGATTAAAAAAAAAAAAAAAACAAATTATTATTATTGATTTTATTTCTTCATTTCATCATTTTTTCATTCATCGACTCACCATTTTTTTTACAAGCCAAATGGTCCACCCGAATCACCAGCACATGCATCGACACCACCGCTCAACCTTCCCGCGCATAACATGCTGTCCAATATCGGTTGTCGTCTTCCGCCATATATTTCCGGACTCCTACATTTATCTAAACTCAATAGGGGTACAGCTGCCGCTCGTAGTTCGGCAGAAAAATCATCCGGATATTCGGCTAAAAATTTTAATCTTTTCATTATATATTTTATTCAATTTGAAAATTAAAATTTTTTGGGGGGGGGGGTTTGAGTTTTACCTATTTTTGCACCCCATCCCGATACGATACACATTTCACCAGATTGTAATTCGGAATCTTCATCCGGTAAACAAATGTATTGAACGTGTGAATTTATTTCGAAATTTCCTTTTAATTTTAATAATGCGATGTCGTTACTATAAGGACCATCTTTAAAAAAATAATAATAATAATAATAATAATTTATGATTGGTATAAAACGGAAACGGAAAACGGAAAACAAGCTTGATTTAAACTCACTTTTACGAAATTCCGGATGTATTATTACTTTTTCTATTTTATAAGTATTTTGATAATCGTCGTGACTTTGAAGACTGTAATCACCGATGACGACTCTCATTTTTTTTATTTCTGCGGATTTCATGCAATGTGCTGCAGTCAAAACAAGCTGTGGACCGATCAAAGCTCCGCCGCAGCGATGTTCGTAATCGTTTAAATGTTCTTTGTAATTTTGTATGCCGACCTGTGACGAAAACAATAATTAATTAATTGTATTCAACCCCTTTCCCCCCTCTTCCCCCTCCAACTTTATTTTTACCTGCCAAGGATATGCTCCGTAGGGTGGTATGGATCCCCCGACAATTTTATACGTTGCCAACATGGGTTTATGTTCGACCGTTCTCCTTCCGCACATTTGGGGATCTGATCTTTCGTTAATGCCGACGGCGATTGGAAATTTTGGAAATCCACCACTTCTTTTATCTCTTAATTTTTCCAAAACTATCGTTTCCGGTAAAAGAAAAAAATGTTTCCTTATAAAAACCGTTAAAACAAATCCCATCATCCTCCACGCGTAGGTTTTTGTTATTTAATAATTTTTAACGACCTCGCGATTAAATTTCTTTTCTTTTTTGTTTGAACGTGTCAATAGAAGAATCCCTTGTGTTTAAAGTTAAATAATATTACCTTCACATTCGACCGTGAAAATGTCGGAAATTGAAGGGGAAAAAAAAACAAAAAACAAAAAACGATCTTGTTAACTAATAATAATAATGTAAGATGATGGCCTATGCAAACAAAAAAATTTCGAATCGCTTTCACCTTTCGCGCACGCACACGCACGCACACGCACTTTTAATGAAAAATAAATAAAAACATGAATAGAAATAAAAAAAAAAAAATCCCTAATCGAGATGATTCCTTCTACCGAGTTAAAACGAACAAAGGTCAAAAAAAAGTTGAATTATTGAAGAAAAAAATCCCCTTGGATCGTGAGACTTGTTTCATTATCATCATCATCATCGTATTTAAATATTTAAATTTAATAATTTATTGTAAATAATAGTTATTAATAATAATAATAATTTATTAAAAATAAATTAAACTTACGTGATGAATTTTGTCCAAATGTCGTCGAAATAAAAAACGATGTTAAAAAAATAATTAATGTCCGCCATTTTTCCATGACAGTTTCTTTTTTTTTCGGGAAAATTTTATTAAAATCACTGGAAAAACTGAAAATACAAAAAAAAAAATTTTAACGTTTTTCTTCCAGATATTCCAGGAAATCATGGTTTCTATGATATTCCAGTGAGGAAAAAGTGTAATATATTTCAAATTTTTTTTTTTTTTTTGGAAAAGAAATTACTACGGCTGCTAAAACTACCACTAAATTAATTTTTTTTTTTTTGTCATTCATTTCCTCCATTTTGAAAATCGATGAAAACCGGAACCGGAAGCATTTTTTTTTTTTTTTTAAATCGAAATTTTCTTTTACTTATCGAACATATTGATCGAAAGGTCGTTTAATGTAAAAATTATTATATAACTAACAATTGGTAAAATTACTTAATGATTATTATTATTATTATTATTATTCGTGACAATGAACGAATGGCCCCCACCTCCCCACCAACCCCCCCAAGGGGTCTTATTTAAGAAATTATTAATGTTAATGATAATAAAATACGGTAATTAAAATATTAATTTTGATGCGAAAAAGAATGAAAAGTGTGTTTGCCCGATTGTTGTTGTTGTTTGTCTGTTTGATTATTATTGTTTGCCTGCCTGTTTGGGTTGCTCGTTTCTCTGTTCGATTGCCTGTTTATCAATCAGGTTCAACTGACAGATTAACTTCACCTTAACCCTGACACTTTAACAACAACAACAAACACCGCCACCTTGTTTCGTTTGCATAAATTTTTTTTTTTTGCGCGCGCTTATTGTTTCGCGCCTACTTAATAACAATAATAATAATAATAATCATTTTGAATTTTTTTTTTTTCGAGGGTCGCTCTTTATGGCTGTGATTTTATAATTTCTCCCCCTTCTCCCCCTCTTAACGCACCCCCCACACTTAACGAACCTTTTCGACTGGAAATTTTGTTTATTGTATCCTTTTAAACCTTTTTGAAAATCGTACTTTAAAAAAATTTATTTATTTTCAACATTCATTAATAAATAAGAGCATTTATTTATTTATTTATTTACTTAAAATTTAATTGGACTTAATAACTTTCTTATTAATCGAACTTATTATTATTATTATTAAAATTAGGGCATTTAAAAAATCTAAAAAAAAAAAAAAAATCCGATTCGTGGCGGGAAATTTTAAAAAGAAAAAAAAAAAAACGTTTTAATGTTGTTTAAACTATCTGACATGTTATTATCATTATCATCATCATCATCATCATCATCATCATCATTATTATTATTATTATTATTATTATTATTATTATTATTATTATTATTACCATTTTCGGACGCTAAACTTTCTCCTTAATAATTTTAAAGTAAAAAAAAAAAAAAAAATTTTTTTTTTCTTGCATAATTTAATTAAAAGACGTAAATTAATGAACGTAATTTAAATGAGGGGTGGGGGGTACGAGGGGTAATAAGGGAGGGTAGATGAGAATTTTTTTTATTATGTTTTTTCATGTAAATTATTAAAATTAAGAATAATAATAATAATATCGGTCGATTATGGGAAATTATTTAAATTCAATTTTTTTTTAATAATTGCAAAACGAAATCGGTCACGTTTTAGACCTTTGACCTTTAGTAAAAAAAAGCTACCAGCATGTCAGTAAAAATTTAAAATATATTTAAAAAAAAAAATTAGAACATTCAATATGATTAATAACTTTTCACTTAAGTGGACTTTTTTTTTTAAAAAAAAAAAAAACAACTTTTTAATTTTATTTAAAAAAATTTCCAAAAAATTCTGAATACGGTCCTGAAATCGATATTTTTTTTTATCACGTTTCGTTTCGTTTTCAAAGAAGAGAGAAAAAAAATATTTTCAACGCCTTTCCTTTCATTTTATTTTTTCCCCCATCGACTTATTACTACTTCTACTACTCACCCTGATAACGTTGTTTGTTGTCAGCAATTATTTTATCACAGACTTCACTTGTCACAATCACAGCCACGTGATATTTTAGTCTTTTACGTAATTAACCGAATTTTATACAAACGTCTTTGACGTGTCTTTGGCAAACCGAAGCTCTTAACTATCTTCCACTATCAGGTGTTGTCTGCTTATATGTAACAATTTGCATTTATGACTTAACATTGCCCTCCACCTAAAATCAATAAGATTTTTCATTCATTTTTTTTTTTTCTCTCATTTTAGTGCGATATAGAATTATCTACTATAAGATTATACACTCTTAAATATTATCATTATTATTAATATTATAAGAAAAAAAATTAATAAAAATTTAATATTAAATAAAAAAAAAATTTTAAAAAAATAAAAATCAATATTTAATTTTTCAAATTATTTATTTGTTTATTTATTTATTTAAATTTACTAATCGTGACGACGACATTTATTAATTAATAAATAAATAAGTGATGAAATTAAATTGAAATTAATAATAATAATAATAAAATTAATTTATTTTAAAATAACGTAAAACTGTAAATTATTTATAATATTATTATTATTATTTTATTAATTAATCTTTTTTTTTCTCATTAATTATATTAACATTTGTTAATATTACCGGATTAACGCTGGATTATAATTGGATTATGACTGGATTAAAAAAAAAAAAAAAAAAATTATTTTATGCATCAAATAGAACATCAATTTTTTTCTTTTTTTTTAATGGACATCCTGCCCCTAAGTTTCCTTAAAATAATAATAATAATAATAAATGCGATTCGTTAATAAACAAATTAATAATAATAATAATAATAATAATAATAATAAATGTTTTATCCAGAGATTAATAAAAAAAAAAAAAATCAAGTCGGTTGAGTCCTTTTTTGACGACGTCAACAACTTATGGCAATGAGATTGAATAAGTAATGTGTCACACATTACGTACTTGACCTATTGTGTTAAACTATTCATTAAATGAGGGCTGCATATGTTCTATATACTTACCTTATGCCCTAAAAAAATGAGGGCACTATCAATAATAATTATATCATCGTATCACGAATTTTACGTTAAAAATCACCCTGGAAAAACAAAAAAAAATTAAAGTTTTCGTAAAATAATAATAATTAAAAGTGATTGATTGATATCTTCCTGGAAACAAATTTTTTTTTTTTTTTAATTCGGTGACACGTTCGTTACAAACACAAAAAAAAATTCGCCATTTTTAATCCGTTTTTAAATAAATTCCGACAATCGATCGTTTGTTTGTTTTTATATTTACACTCGCGTTTTTTTTTTTTTTTTTTAAATTTTATTTATTTTCGCGAGGAGGATTAATAAAAAAAAAAAATTTTAATACTTTTCCAACAGGATTTATTATGTTTTTATTAACGTATTGTGTTTTTCATTGATACAACAACTTATTGTTTTTATGTTTAATTCAAAATCGTGTTTGTGTAAAAAAAAAAACGAAATTTAATTATTAATTTCTCAATACCCAATAAAAAAAAAAAAAAATAATAATAATTTTTTTAGTTTGCATTAAAAACAAACAAACAAACAAACAAACATGGACGCAATTCTTTGAAATTGTTAAAATTGCAAAAGTTTTTTTGTAAAAACTTTCTCATAATTTTAAAATTAATTTTTTTTTTTTGTCGTTTTACCTTGCGCGTTTTTTTCGAAACGGTTAATAATTATCATCGTTATTATTATTATTATTTAGGTTAAAAACTTAATTATGTTTATGTTTTTTTAATTAAATATGGCGACAAACGAATTTTTTATATAAAGCCTTGTACCTGCATTTTAATTTATTTAAAACATTTTTTCTCTCTCTCTGTCTCTATCTTCGTTAACTTTCCAGAATTTTTTTTTTTTTTTTTGGGGGATTTTTATATTTTCGATACGTTTAAAACTAAACATAAAATTTATTTATTATTATTATTACGTAAATAAATTAACGCGTTTTTGTTTAAATAAATAAATCAAAGTCGTGTCATTCAGTGAATAAAAAAAAATTGTCTTTAGTAGAAAAAAATTGTGTTGTTTTATAAATTTTGAATTATACGAATGTTTGTGACGTTTAAATGCAACAAATTTATTTGTTTAAACAAAACGATAATAATAATAATAACGCGTTGTAGTTTATTTTTGTAAAAAAAAAAAATATTTCGCAAAACAAATAATAAATAAATTTATATTTTAAGTCAAAAAAAAAAATTATTTTTACAGACGTAATAATATTTTCTTACGTCGAATGGAGACGACAGTTATAATTTTGTTGCTATTATTATTATTATTACCATCGTTAAAAAATTATCGTTTCGAAATATTAATAATAATAATAACAATAACACTTCCTTCAAGTTTTTTTTTTTTTTTTTTTTTATTATCATCGTAAAATAAATCTAAAAAAAAAAAATGTTTTAATTATTTTTAAGAATAAA